TCCTAGAAGGAGTCTTTGTTCTGTGGTTCCTAGAACAGAGTCTTCACAGGCAAAAGTACCACATCGTGAAGACACAGAGCGACAAACCAGCAAAGGAAAGCCGAGAAAAACAATAATATATAAAACCATAGCAGGGGCGTCCTACAGCCTCTGAGAAAGCTCACCCCAGGAGCACCGCTGTGCCTCCATTCGCAAGCCTGAGGTCGGCTGGGTCTGACCTTGCCACAGTCATCCTTCTGTGCGCCTTGGGTCTGTGGTTACCCCAAATGCCACCCTCGAGGCTGACGAGTCAGAACGAGCTTTCCTCTTGCCAGGAATGCAAGTGCCTTATTCTGGATGATGTCACTGAATTCTCAGAATAGCCACTCTGGATGCTAGTATCACCTCCATTTTACAGATGCGGAAACTGAGGCCCAGAGGGGTCCCAGGAAGGGCTCACTTCCATAGCCCTTGGAATCAGGGAGTCACAGCTGGCATGGAGGCCACAGCCCATGTGCTTAACTAATGTGCCAACTTGAGGGTGGGGGGCACATTGGCCCATTTCTCAGATGCACAGAGCACCAAGCCCTCAGCACTGGAGTAGCTGTCTAGATATGACATGGGGGCCCCAATGAGACTGCAGATTCAAACCCCTGGTATATCTTCCCCCTGTCCAATATTCCTGGAGTTATCTGCCAAGAACCGCCTTGGATGGTTTACCAGTTACCATCTCATTTAACCCTCACTATAACCTTGGGAGGTTTATATCACCACTCCCATTTTAGAGATGAAGAAACCGAGGGTCAGAGTGGTTCAGGCATGTGGCCAAGGTTACACAGTTGGTAAGCAGCAGCAGAGCATGGCCTCGGAACCAGAGCTGTCCAGCTTCCCGCCTGGTTCTTTTTCCATCACTGCCATCTAAAATCTCTCTTCTCTGGCATCTGATTGTCCTCCAGGTGTTGTCAGCCACTGTCAGCCAAAGACTGCCTGAGTGTTTGCTTTGATTCCCCAATCAGGCTGCTGAGCTCTGTCAGGACTCTTGGGCCTGCCCCGAGCTTGCCTATGGGCAGGATGCACATGTGCTGCTCTGTGCAGTAGAGTCAATCCCCAAGGTCACGTCCCCAGAAGTGGGCTTCCTACACAATTGCAACTGAAGCATTATAATATCTAAAGGTGACTTCTGAATCATCGGGCTGGTTTCAGTTTGAAGGTGGTCAGCCTGTTTGGGGTAGACTTACGGTATCCCTTTAGGTTATGCAGAAGAGGCAGCCAAGCAGAAAGTGCAGCGAGAGATCCAGACTCATGAGATCCAATATCTCATAGCCCCCCACTCCTAGGCCATGAGCGAGGCAAATCACTTAACCTCCCTGTGCCTCAGTGTACTTACCTGTAAAGTGAGAGTAATGGGACTACACAAGCCACCATGCACCCACCCACCTATCACCCATCCACCTACCCACCTACCCATCAACCATTTCCCTGTCCCCCCACCCAGCCATTCCCCGTCCAATCATCGCCCAGCCACCTACCCACCCACACCCCCATCACCCATCCACCTAACCATCTACCCACCTATCCATCACCCATCCACCTATTCACCACCCATCAACCATTCACCTATCCACCCACGCACCTATCCACTCATCACCCACCCATCCATCCATCCATCTACCATCCCTCAGTCTAACATTTAACAAACACATATCGCACACTTATCCTTTGCCAGGCACTGTGTTAAGCGTTTGGGATGCATCCGTGATGAAAGCATAGATCCCTGCCCACAGGGAGCTTATTTTCTGGTGAGGGAGTCAGACAATAAAAAACAAACATAGGGAATTCCCTGGCAGTCTAGTGGTTAGGACTCCGCACTCTCATTGCTGAGGGCTCGAGTTCAATCCCTGGTCGGGGAACTAAGAAACCACAAGCCTCGTGGTGCAGCCAAAAACCAACCAACAAACAAACAACAAATGTCATACAAAAGAAAAGTATATAGAAGGTGAATGTGTCAATGGGGGAGGGGGCCACTTCTCAGAGTGTGAAGGGGGAGTTGCAATTCTAAATGGAATGATCAGGATAGGTATCCCTGAGAAGGTGACATCTGAGCAAAGATCTGAAGGATTCAAGGATGTTGGCCAAGAGGACATCTGGAGAAAAGAGTGGTTCAGATGGAGGGAATGGCACATGCAGAGGTCCTGTGGCAGAGAGCGCGCCTGTCCTGTCCCAGGGACAGTGAGGGTGCCAGCACGTCTGGAGAAGATGAGAAGGCAGGAGTACAGGATGGGAGCAGAGCAGTGATGAAAGCCAGATCATGAAGGGCCTTGTGGGAATCGTCCAGATTTAGCTTTCCTCTGAGTGACACGGGAAGTCGGCGCAGAGTTTAGAGCGGCGGAGGGTGAAGATCCTGATAGGGTTGTAGAGAGAGTGACAGAAACTTCACACACTGATTTCCTTTTCTGAACCCCTGTTGAAACTAAAGTCGGTGCCCTTTATTTACAAACCCCACAATTCTCTTCCCCGGTTCCCCTTCTCCCCCTCTGAAGGCTGCTTCTTCTCCCTGCCCCAAAGCAGCACACCTGCCCGTAGTCCTTACAGTTGAGTCTTTCATGCCTGGGGGTAGCTGGCCTGGAAGAGGGGGAGGTAAGCAACGGGGAAAGGAAGCGATTTATCCTTCCTTGTCTCCCAGCCTCTGAAGCCCACAGTGCCCTGAGCCCAGTTCCATTTCTAGAGTCACGTGGGATCAGAAATAAAAATATTACGTCCCCAGGGAGGAAATGGAGTTTAATAACAGGAACCAGCCCTCGCAGAGAGAGGAGGGCAGGGCAGAGGTGTTGGGTAGCCTGCGGTATGAAGGAGCCTGCAGTTTGCAGGGGGCGAGTCAAGGAGGGAGGAAGGCTTTGACATCCCCGGAAGTTGGCATTTGCACCCGCATCAAGACCGCATAGGTTGTTTGTGTCGTCTTCCATTTCTTTTCATTAGTGTCTTATAGTTTTCGGAGTATAGGTTTTTGCCTCCTTAGGTAGATTTATTCCTAGGTATTTTATTCTTTTTGATGTGATGGTAAATGGGACTGTTTCTTTAATTTCTCTTTCTGATCTTTCATTGTTAGTGTATAGAAATGCGATAGATTTTTGTGTACTAATTTTGTAACCTGCAACTTTACCGAATTCATTGATGAGCTCTGGTGGTTTTCTGGTATCATCTTTAGGACTGACATGTACACACTGCTGTATTTAAAACAGATAAGCAACAAGGGCCTACTGTATAGCACAGAGATCTCTGCTCAATATTATGTAACAACCTAAATGGGAAAAGAATTTGAAAAAGAATAGATACATGTATATGTATAACTGAGCCACTTTGCTGTGCACCTGAAACTAACACAACATTGTTAATCAACTATACTCCAATATAAAATAAAAAGTTAAAAAAAAAAAAAACGACCACATAGGCCTCTTGCATTCCCATTAAGAAGTCAGGGAGATCGTTCAGCTGGTAAAGATGCCCCAGCCCCCCAGGGGTATGTTAGGAGGGGGAGAGTAAAAGATGTGTCCGAGGAATAGATAGAGACCATCTGAGTGAGAGTTCATCCAGGAGGACAGCCAACCCTATGTAAACTTGTATCTTGGCAGAAGAGTTGGAGAAATACCTTCAAAGCCCTTGTGCCCATTGCAAAATCATCAAGGGGCTTTTTTACCCCTCAAGGTCAGATTGAGGCTAAAAGCTTGTCTGCCTTCAAATCCAGCCTCCACCATTTCCCAGCTGGGGACTGGGGTTGGTCACTTCTGGGCAGCCTCTGTTTTTTCTTTCTGCATAAAATACGGTTGGAGATCATCAAAGCATTTAGGGTGGATGTGAGAACTACCTGCTGGCTTAGGCTGAGCCTGGCACACAGTAAATACTCAATAAATGTGAATCATTGTGATTATCTTGTTTCACGTTACTCCAGAGCCATGAAAGGACCAAGAAGGACTAGAGTTTATGACACCAGCTCATAAAATTGGAAAAGCTCAGATCTACGCAGAGGAGACTGAAAGATGTGTGTCTTTAGGAAGACTGTTGTTTGCATTGAAGTGAGAACCTCTTTGGAACTGGGAAGGAAGACCTAAAATGTTTGGGGAGCCAAGGGTGTGAGTGGAAACGGTATGGTATAGGCTTGTTTTCCTGATTTAAGATGCATCAATTGCTATCAGTACTTTTAAAAAATAAGACACTCTCTCTCTGCAGTCTGGTTCCTCTTCTGTCTCTCTCTCTTTCCCCCACCATCTCCCTCTTTCTCTTCCTCTTTCCATCTCTTCTTTCTTCCCATCCTCCCATCCTCCCTCCCTTCTTCCCTCCTTCTCTCCATCTCCATTTCTGTCTCTTTCTCTCCTGTCTCTCCCTCCCTTTCTCTCTCTCCCTGTCTGTCTTTCAGTTTCTGTCTCTCTCCATGACCCAGATGCACACACACACATGTGCACACATACACACACACGCACAAACAAGTACATACACATGCAAGCATATGCCCACACATACGTGCACCTGCACACACATGCACTCTTGCACGCATGCACGCATACGCACACACGCACATGGCAATCTCTGCTCCCCGGCTCTTCGGCCCTTCCTCTCCGTGGCAACCTACTTTTCCACACACTGATTGTGCCTGCACCTGTCTTCCCCACTTGCAGGCCATAGCTGATTTGTCCATCTGTGCCCCTCACCGGTGCCTTGCATCATGCCTAAGGTATCAAGGTGGCTCAGAGAGTGACCCAAGTGGGCATTTGGCCGCGTGGACAGTTTACTTTTAAGTAGAGTGGGGAGCACACTGTTTCTCCAGTGCCCTCAGCATCACAGCCTGAGCTCTCCAAGCACTTGTTGCTCCTGCCAGCTCAACCAGGGACCTTGATTCCTGTCCAAGTCTGCCTTTCCAACTTGGGACCCGGATGATCACATTGACTTCCTTTTCAGAGAGTAGAGGGAAAATCCCTGAGCTGCCTACAGCCAGGCGTTGCTCCATGAGAAAAGGGGATGGCACTTACCCCCAGGGTCCTTGTAGCCGGAGTCCCTCTCGGCTGCCGGGGCCTGCAGCCCACTCCAGATCCACCCCAAGGGGGCCAAGTCTGGGTCTCCTTTCTCCATCAGGGTCAAGGAGATCTTCCTGGCCAGAGCCTCACCGTCAGGCTCATGGAGCAGGGCGTAGTGGTACTCCCTGGAGAGAAGATCCTCTGCCAGCAGGTTGTCCAGAAGCACCTGCACTTGGCTCGGCCGATGGCTGGAGAGCAGCATCCGGACCTGACTCAGGATGGTCTGGAAGTGATTCATGGTAGCTCTCGGATGCAGGGCTGCCCGGGACAACGCCTGGGACCTCTGCTCAGCCGGCTTGCAGCATCCAAAACTTGAAGTGAGAAACAGGATGAGGGAACCTCTGCAGTTTATTGCAGTTTATTCCTGCTTAGGAGGATTTCCTCATTTGCACGTTAGGCTGGGGTTGCCTGACGAATTAATGGAAGTGGGTTCTGGGGCTGATTTACACCCCATAGATATTCGCTGGTACCACTCATGCGCATGTACCAGAGAAGCTCACAGCTTTGTGGACTCCTTTAGATCCAATCCAGTGTTTATTATACTAAGAGGAAGGGGGCTTGCCTCTTTGAGGACCTATGAGGTGATAAGCCTTTTTAGATGTTGTATCATAACAAGAAGGCATTGGGGCGTAGAGGTTAAGCAGTTGGGTTTGGAGCCAATCTGCCTGTGTTCAAATCCCAGATTACTTGATATTGGGCACGTTACTTAGCCTCTTCTTGCCCCCATTTCTCCATCTGAAAAGATGTAGTGATAATAATAGTACTTACGTCTTAGAGTTGTAGGGAGGATTAAATAAGATAATGCATGTAGAGTACCTAGCACATTATCTACAACTTGATAATAGCTCAATACACCTGAGTTCAATAAATATGAGCCATTATTATTATTGATTAATCATGCAAACAGCTGTGTCACCTTGGGCTCAACCTCACTAAACCTCAGACTCCTCCTCTGAAAAATCTCCCGATAAAAGTAATTCGGGCTTCCCTGGTGGCGCAGTGGTTGAGAGTCCGCCTGCCGATGCAGGGGACACGGGTTCGTGCCCCGGTCCGGGAAGATCCCACATGTCACGGAGCGGCTGGTCCCGTGAGCCATGGCCGCTGAGCCTGCGCGTCCGGAGCCTGTGCTCTGCAATGGGAGAGGCCACAACAATGAAAGGCAAAAAAAAAAAAAAAAAAAAAAAAAAAAATAATTCAATCTCATCAAGTTGTCTTGAGGATTAAAAGAGATAATGCCTTTGAAGTGCTTAGTACTGGCCGTAGTAAGCACTTCATGAACATTGACTCTATACTAATATTATCCCCAATTTACTAACACACAAAACAGAGGCTTTGCATAGGAGCCAGTCTGTTGTAGGATTCTACCCTGAAAAACCCCAACCCCCACCTTTTCTTTAAAATCATAGTTGATTGCTCTTCCAGAAACACACTGTGACCTGGTTTCCTCTCCCGGCCTCAGCTTTACCATCCCTCAGATGGGACCATTTGCATTGTTCATTTCAATGAGACAAATAGGGATTTCCACTTCCAGTATGGGTGAGAGCTCCTATCTGACTAACTCTACCATAAATGACAACTATAAACTCTGGTGGGGCAGGGGGGAGGTTATAAAAAATGACTACCTGAAGGCCCTGGGGAGTGACTAGAGCAGGCAGACCCTGGAAGGGAATCCATATGTGGAAGACAAGAATATCACTGGTGAATTCCCAGCTCATTAGCTTAGCTCAAAGAGGTCTCAATTAGTGCTGTGCGGGGCAACTAAAATTCTGTAAAAAATGAAAAGTTTTACTGCCCTGAATAACCAGAGGACAGAATTTGGGATAACAATCGTAGCTGGAAAGTGAGAGTAGAAATTCCAGGAAGGAGAAAGACAGAAGTTGCTCCAAATTCTGTGTATAAACTGCCCAAGTATCTGGCTCACCTCTGAACCTTGAATTCATGGCTCATTCATATTCTTGCTCATTCATGCATTCATGGGCAGACTCCAAACAACTCAACTAAGGCTAAAGGAGCTGGGCTGAGACTTGAGTTGCAACCTACTATGGGGGTGGGGTGGGGTAGGAGACTATGCACTTGATTCCAGCCAAGATATGAGCCTGCCAAAACAACAACAGCAACAAAATTAACCCTGTTCGGATTATAACATAATCCAGAGTTTTACAATATATCATTCGTGATGGGCAGTGCACATCCAAAATTACCTGACTATAAAGAGATAAGAAATAGGGACCCACTCTCAAGAGAAAAGAACAATCAGTGGAAATTGACCCCAAGATGACCCAGATGTTGAAATTAGCAGGCAAGGATTTTTTTTTAAAGCAGTGACTCTAACCATGAATGAAAAAGACATAAAGGATGTCAAGGAAAATATGCTCATGAAAATAAAAAGACAGGAACTTTCAGCAGAAAAACAGAAAATATTAAAAATTACCAAATGGAAATTATAAAAGTGAAAATTACGATATATGAAAATTTAAAAGTAATTGAATGGGATTAATAGTAAAATGGGGATGACAAAAGAAACTTTAAGATACAGCAGTAGAAATTACTTGATCTGAAGAACAGAGAGAAAAAGATTGAAAAAAAATGAGCTTCAAGGATATGTGGGACAATGTCAAAAGGTCCAACTTATACATACTTAGAGTCACAGAAGGAAAAGAGAGAGAATGGGGTAGAAAAAAGATTTGAAGAAATAAGCTTCTCAAATTTGGTGAAAAGAAAACAGCATGAAAACCATGAAACTCAGCAGGACAAATACAAGGGAATCCACACCTAGGCACATCGTAATCAAACTGCTGAAAACCATAGATGAGGAGAAACTCATGAAAGCAGCCAGATCAAAAGAACACATTACATTCAGCGGGGCATGTGAATAATCACCGGCTTCTCATTACAAATCATGGAGGCCAGAAGACAGTGGAACAGTATCTTGGAAAAACTGAGAAGAAGAAAAAAATGTCAACCCAGATTTCTAAATACAGTGAAAATATCCCTCCAGAATGCAGGAAAAATAGATATTTTCAGATTTAAAAGACTACAAGAATGTGTTGCAACAGACCTGCATTGTAAGAAATGCTAAAATAAGTTCTTTAGGTGGAAGGAAAATGATATCAGTTAGAAACTCAGCTCTACAGGACGGACTGAGGAGCATCAGGAATAGTAATCTCTGGGTAAGTATAAAAGATTGCTTCTTTTCCTCTTCATTTATTTAAAAACATAACTGCTTAAAGCAAAAGGTATGGTACTATCTTGTGATTTTAAATATATGTAGATATGATACATATGAAGTCTATACCATAAAGGGTGGTATAGCATACAGGGTGGTTATTGGACCCATATGGTAGCAAGGTTTCTATATATGAAGTGGTACAATATTACCTCTATGTAGGTTGGGAGAATGGAAGATGTATATTAAAAGCTCTTGGACAACCACTAAAACATCATGCAAAAAGGTATAGCTAAGCAGCAATTTGAAATTAATACAGAATTTTAAATGAGACGGATTCAACTCTTGGCTTGAATAAGCAGTCCAACAAGATCATGACATTATAAATTTTATGTATAAAGGCAGAAGGCAGAGAAGTAGAAGATAGAAATTCTAAAGCTTTTCTCACCTAATAAAGTACTTATACTTTTAAGCAAACAGAGATGTAGATGTAAATATTATCCTCCTGGCAACAAATTATCAATTAAGATAATCAAAATTGCACACTTTTTAGGCATTAAAGTCATAATTCACAGGGAAAATTACCAATTTTGCAGGCTGGGTATCTTGTACTTCTTTATGCAAATAATACTTTTTTTTTTTAATGTTGAGCCTTCATTTAATTAATTTATTTTTTTAAATTTTTGGCCGTGTTGGGTCTTCGTTTCTGTGCAAGGGCTTTCTCTAGTTGTGGCAAGCGGGGGCCACTCTTCATCGCGGTGCGCGGGCCTCTCACTGTCGTGGCCTCTCTTGTTGCGGAGCGCAGGCTCAGTAGTTGTGGCTCACGGGCCTAGTTGCTCCGCGGCACGTGGGATCTTCCCAGACCAGGGCGCGAACCCGTGTCCCCTGCATTAGCAGGCAGATTCTCAACCACTGCGCCACCAGGGAAGCCTGCAAATAATACTTTTAAGAATAGTTCTACAATCACAAAACAAAGTTTTACATCTTCACACAGGTCTTCCCCCATGACAAAAGAATGAGGTAGATACCTGTGCAAATGTTCTCAGTTTCATCAGAACTAACTCTGTGATGCACAAAAGTGTGCGCTTTACTGCAGCTAGAGAGGAAGAGGAAACTTTTACCCCCACTTCCCCTTTCTTCCTGGGATTTCTTTCCCCAGCAGTTGGAAGACCACACAGTTTCTTGGACAAGGTGGTAATGCCCATCAATTATCCCTGAGAGAAAAAGAGGAGATTTGAGAGCTTAAAACTCATTAGGTAGGAAAGAAGGGGGCCAAAAGAGAATTTTAACAGAAGGAATAGATGGCATCTTCAGCCATAGTTGTGGAGAAGATGGCAGGTGGGTCAGTTGCTGAGAGGAATAAGGAAACCATGTTCTAAAGTACCTCACCTCCGAGGCACTTGAGAGAGAGGACCAGGCCTGAGAATCCATCCCCCAGCATCCAAGGAGGAGATGATGGATAATGAAACAGCAAACACTGGGTGCACGGAACCAGGGACTAGGGTAGCTTTTCCTAGCCATTTCCAAGGCTACCTTCCTCTTTCCTATCAATCCAGTCCACTACCAGTTCACATGCTTAGTCAGAAAAATCTGAATGTCAGCTTCTACTTGGTCACTGACTCACTGTGCCACCACAAGCAATACATTTCCTCTCTCTGGCCCACTATTTCATCACATGTGAAATAGTAGGTCAGATTACACGATCCCTAGAATTTCTTTCAGTTCTGAAATGCTGCTGTTTATAGGGAGGTGTTACCTTGCTGCAGAACCCACTGGTCCCAGAGCTCCACAATATTCCCTTGTGATTAGTCATGAGCGCAGCATTTCCTCTGCCTACAGTCATTCAAATCTCCCTGTAAGACTTTTTTCTTATAATCACATGCAATGTGTGCTATTATTTACCTGATACTTTACTTTAATCTGGGTTATTTCTTTAATATATCATAAAAGGAAATTTCATATTCCTATCACAGTTGGAAAGTCTTATCACTTGCCCAAGAATAGTGATAAACGGATGGAAAGTAAAATGATGTTTATATTCTGCTGCTTGTTGAAGTTTCTGATCCTGAGGTCCAATGTCTCTTTGTGACAA